CCCCAAAACCCCAAAACCCCATAAATAATGATTAATCGATTGAATTTGAGTGAAGAATAAATTAAAATTTTTAGTTTGAATAAAAATGTCAGTTGAATTCGGAATAACAAGCAATGTGAAGCTCTTGAAAGTTGAAAAAGCCAAAGAATTTGAATCATTTAGAAATCTACCTAAATTTACTCATGTACCAATGGCAGTTATTCACCCATCACCTAGAAAAAAGAGATAACCCTAGAAATCTCCAACGCCAAATCTTACAGTTTCTGGAAATCCAACAAAGCTTTTGGCAAAACGTTATGAGCCTAAATAATTCCCTGATCATTTGATGAGAGCACCAATGGATATTAGCTTTACAAGCTCTGTCTCACCAAAGAGGCATAAATCATAAAGTGCAGGATTTGGCTCATCTACTGGAAGCAAAAAATCTTTGAAATAAGCCAAAAACGCAAAAGAAATAGCAAGGAAAATGGAAAGTGAAGGAAAAAGAGTAAAGAGAGCAGATGATAATAAAAAGGTATTCTTTGGGGAACTTAAGAAAATACTTGAGTCTAAGAGTGATGATGAATAATTTCTTCCCCCTTAGATTAATACTACTATCAAAGAAGCAAAATAAGCTGTGAAAGATAAGAAATTAATTAAGCATCTATATTCTTAGGTTAGCTAATCTCGTTTTTCTGATATGAGATTATCAAAATATGAATTCCTTGGGCTAGTAAAAGTATTTTGCAAAGAGATGGGAGAAAATGATATGAATGATGTTTTCCTCTCATTCTGCAAAAGACTTGAATAGCATTCTAATAAGGATGACAAAGAAAAAGAAGACACATTAAAAAGCTCTCTGACTAAAACTAAACTTAATCTAAATAACCTGAAGAATGGCTAAAAATCCCAAAAAGCACCAGCTGCAGATTCAACCCTAGTGGACATCAAAGATCTTAAATTAGATTTAGGAATTGTTGATCATGCCTTTGACAAATGGTATAAAGAGGAAGAGTCACTTTCTGGCGTTTTAAATATGAAAGTTATTAAACAAAGAAATGCTGACCTGAGAGTAAAACTCGATGTTTGGAGAAAGAGAGCTGATGAAAGAAAGCGTTAAGCAAAAAGAATATTTGAGCATGGAAAGAAAATTAGAGCAGGTTTTGAAAAATATTAAGATGATTTTAATATTGAAAAGGAAAAGGTCATCAGTTGTGCAATTGACTACAATTAATTTTGTGAATTAAAGGATCGTGTTGAAAAAGAGGAAAAGATAATAAATAATTTCTTATGCTAACTTCCTGAAAGCTCCTAAATCCTTGAGATTAAAGACCTCGAAAGAATATTAGATAATGAAACCAGATCTAATAAAGTAACTATAAATCTACTCAGAGATTTTGCCTAGATAGTAAAAACTGAATGTGTTCTTAATCAATATTTCTTCTCGTTCTTTGATATCCCAGATTTAATTGTCAAGAAAAAATACCAAAGAAAAGAATATGATCAAATCATTAAAATTCTAACAAAAGTCAAGAAAACCTATTTAGGCTAAAAATCTTTGATAGTAAAAGACAAGCCAATTGATTAATTAGAAATAACGGATGAGGATTTAGTGCCTCTTGAAATATTTGATTAAGTAATTGCTTAATAGGAGAACAAATGCGATGAAAAGAAGCAATATTTAGTTTCACTAATCTATAAAATGAGATAGGCGGCAGTATAGAAAATCAAGTCACTTGGAGTAGATACTGATAAAACAAAGAAGATAGTAGAAAACTCAACTTTTATTACTACTCTTAATCACTAACTTGAAAATACTCATCAAGAAATTTTTACCTATAATTACAAACACTAATTGATATATCTTCACTTTGTGGTCTAGTAACATATATTCAAAGCAGCAAGAGAATTTGAGTATTAGTACATAGAGTGTCTGAAAGTGGATAGATCAGACAATAAATTCAATAAAGAATGGAAAGATCGTCTTACAAAAGAAATGATGAAGTTTAATGGGAAAATTGCAGCAATTGGTGATGAAAATTCAGTTTCAGATGCAACATCTGAGGGTAAAAGAAGTCAAAAAACGATGAACGCTATATAAAATAGCAACTCTAGCAAGCCAAAAAGTGCAATGAAGCAATAATAATCATTTATGAATCAGTAGTAATAGTAAAATATTAGATTCTAAGATTAGCAAAAGCAGGTAATTTAGCCATTTGTAGCCTAAAATCAAAGACAATCATCTGGAGGTAATCTTTTAGCTAGAGATGATGAAATGGATGATGTAATATAAAGACTTAATCCTGGAGTACCTAAAAGAAGAGATTCAACTGATAGTCTAAATTTTAGAGACAGTGAATTTGATCCAATGAATTTCAAGAGAGCATAGACCACAGTCTCAGGAGATATTAAATCTTACAATGAATACAGCGGCATAATTTAGCCAATTGCTGTTGATCAAATGAGAGAAATCGGTAAAGGCTTAGGTTAATATCCTAATGATGCCCATAATCAATTCATTGATGAGGAAGAGTAGGCTGACGAAAAGCGAAGATAGGAAGAGGAAAAGAAAAAGGCATAAGAATCTCCATATAAGGAATACTTCAGAGACACAACTGGGAATATCTTTGACCCTAACAAGAAATTTGGTATAATTTAGGATAACTCATTGATTTACGACAATGTGACGTCGAGTTATCCATTAAATTTGCCTACCGATTATTATCAAAAATACATTCAAAGTACTCTTCCAGCCAAAGATGCAGGAAAGTGGTTTATTAGACCTCATCATTTAGAAACTTTGACAGAGCATCCTCAATCAGTAAAAGATGATGTATTAAATACAAGGTATTACTCCCACTATAACTAGAAATATGGGAAGAAGGAAGAAAGAAATGAAGCTGAAGAAGCAATTAAAACAATTGAGTTGCATTTAGAAAAGTTAAAGCACGAGAGATACTTACTAGCAATGCAAAAAGGAACAGTATAAAAAGAGGAAGAAACACTTGATGATCTAAGAGATAGATTAAGACGCCAAGCTTAGGAAGAATATGAAAGATTTTTACACGACAAAACTAGACTTGACCAGAAAGGACTCATAATAGAAGCATACGAAGGAGTTCTTTACGAAAGAAGAAGATTAGAGAAGGATCTTTTAAACAGCAAGAGATTTAGAGAGTTTGAGAAAAATAGACCCCCATAGGACAGATGGTATGAGTTAAAGTCAACAGAATTTTCAAAGGAACTGTATAGAAATAGAATGGCTCTTAAGCCCAACGACGCTAATAGAGTCTATCTTCAAACATTGCAAGATACTTATCTCTATTGATTAAAAATATTCACATAGATCTATTAATTACAATTAATGCATTCTTTAATGGAGAAATTAAGATATATCCTCTTGGGGTTTTGGGGTTTTGGGGTTTTGGGGTTTTGGG